TCCCTGAAAAAAAAAATTTACCTAAAAACACATGCTTCAGCAGGTTTTACATTTGAACTGCTTGTCCAAGTTTCAAGTATGAGTGGTTGGTGTCAAATTTCGAATGCACCAACACAAATTAAGACGTGACATGTAATTTCCCAAACATGAATTTCATTCCATATATTATATGTCTAATTTGTGTCTTCTTAAATTAAACTTTTCTTTCTGGTGCATCAAAATTATTTTGAAATTTGGAAGCGCTTCTCACCTGTCGTGTTAGAGTCTAGCAACGACAATTTTGACAGTTCAGGCATGTTTCCAAACACCTGCCGGATGGTATCTCGCGCGCTTTCAGACTTGTTCTCGCTCAATGTTCAATAGCAAACTGAGATACAGTCTCCAATTTATAGTCTGTTCTAAGTTATTTTCGTTTGTGTAAATTCGTTTTAAATATATGTGTGTAGGGATATAATTGTTTAAATTCAGTCACGCAAAATAAAAAAATTTTAGGATGTATATGATACACGCGTCCATTATGTGATTTAATTATGTTAAAACGTTTTAGCTATGAAAAGTGCAATTATGTATGAATATTGATGCTCTCTAAGATTAAAGTCAGTTGAGTCAAGTTTGTACACCATTGATATAATGGAAGAACTGTAAAGACAATTTACAGGAGAGTAAGGGGGAAAATGGATTTGTGTATGCAATATTTTTTTATACGTAATAATGCAGAGACTAATATGCAGATTGGCGATTGGAAAAAGTGCGAAATGATAAGCTATAACGTGAAAATAGCGTACTTATAAGAAGACGGATATGTCAAAGTACTAATTTCGAGAATGGGAACCAATCAAAGTAGGCAATTTAAACATGTCCTGGAACAATAGTTAAATTTGAAAGAAAATTCTTTGGGGGTGGGCTGTATGGACCCAACACAAATAAAAGCAACTCATCGCTGTGTTATTATTGCTTAACATGTATACAAATTCCTAGGACCCAATACTACTGTCACACTTTAACTACAACAAGACAAAGCACGCATTACTATGTTCCAATACTATTGTCCCACTTTAATAACAACAAGACAAAACACAAATTCCTATAACCCAATACTACTGTCCAACTCTAACTACAACAAGACAAAACAATGTTCCCAGGTCTTACTGTAAACCGATTTCGCTCCTCATAGATTTTAAGAAATTTGTTTATAACAGTCAAACACAGGTTCTGCTCATAAAAACTGTATAGCTAGTGGGGGCACTTTAGCAACAATTGGGCTTTAATAATAAAATAGGGGTATTGCAATATGGCGACAATATGAATTTAACATGGGAATGGCACCTGGGGATCAATGGGAATTGAGGATGGGTGACTGCATGAGTTTATAGGGTCAAAAGGTTGATACGGAAAAAAACATCGACATACAGAAACAAACAAATACACATCCAAACAAAGAAGAATGGAAACACATGGAAATAAGGTTAGAGATGTTCCAAAGAAAGACTCGCATAGAAAAGATACTCCAGTCAGAAAAGTCTTTTGTATGGGTATAAAACATGGGCGTTCTGGTCTGTGTTTTGGTCTAATCACTACTCATTTAATTCATGAAACAAACATACTTAAAATTTATTTAGTTCTCGGTTCTAACAAACTACTATTAAAGTTCATGTCTCCGAAGGAAAAAAAACACATCATATACAACGTATTTACATTACATAAAAGAATGTCATTTTCTTTCACGCTACCTTAACTGTTTACTTGTAAGAAAAAGCTAAAACAAAAATGTAACAATCAAACAGGACAAAGTTCATGTTTCTCTCTATATCCTCACACAATCTGTTTACAATCTGTTTAGCATGCAAACACTCGTGTCCCAGCGTAGATGTTTCCTATCACGTACTCCCTTTCATTCGTAGATCTGCTGTTATATCCATTGTGCTAGGAAACAAACGGGTCTTTTTTTAGGTCCCTGGCTCCTAGGGGTCAGGAAAAGGCCTAGCACCAAGGCCAAACGCCCTCTCGGGGAGACCACAGTCCATGCCTGGGACTGTAAACCCACTCCCCGGAGGGACTGCAGTCCATGCTTGGGACTGTAAGCAGTCGTATCAGCCTAACGACAGCAAGCGACTTAAAACGTCTATTGATTGATTGATTGTGCTAGGTACACTTATCGGTAAGCAGATCAAGTGCAGTCATTGTCTTCTCCACATGGAGGTACAAAGTATGCCATGTGATAACAGAGTTTTCTCTCATTGTCTACATCTCTTCAATAGCCCGCAAAAATTTGTAAGAAGTTAATTCTGCAGGTGTACTAAACACGAGACATACATGAGAGATCAACCTATCGTGATACATAGAAAGGCTCAAACGACCTCGATCTTTGACTTGGTACTGACGTTTGAGTTCCTCTAACAGTGAATAAAATAAGTCCGTAATGAAACTTGCTGCTTCCCAGAGTGGAATGTCAGATGTGAAATCTTTAAATTTCACCGTGTAGGTTTAAGTTGTCGTCCTAATTTTCTCGAAAACGCTGTCTGAGTCATTTGGATGCTAAAATATTCTATTAGATCTACTGAATCTTTTTCCTTCTTGGACTCACTCTGATGTGACGGTATGGTGGTGATAAAAGAGGTCAATGATGTTTGTTCCTTCTCTTTTTTTTTTCATCTGAATAGAGTGATTCATTATCTCAGCACTTGTCTTCCTAATGAAATGTCGTTCTTGGAAGTCGTTCCCTTTTTATACTGGGTGATATCAACGTGACCATAAGGTAAATTCTTTTAGTCTGGATGTTTCACTGGTTGCACATAGTTTTCCATGGCGTTTGTAAATAAACAACTAAAATGTGGTACTGCATTGGTGAAGTGATCATGATCGGGATTCACATTGGACTTGAATCTCTCACTCGATTCTTGATGTGTCAAAGTCATCCATCTTGTTGGTGGCTATCATATTCGAACCATTTTGTTTATACCAGTGTGTTCGTACGGTAAAGTGATGTGGTTGGGAAGGCGCTATCGCTTCTGGTACACGATTTGATACACTTTTTCCAAAGTCGACCCACGATTTGGTGTGTGGCTACCGTACAATTTTGTGAGGTTGGTATATGGTCATTTCAAAATCTTCATCCTCTCCAGGCTGCAAGGCTTCTTTTAACAACCCAAAGTTCATCACTTGATTGGTGCGATAATCGAGAGTCAATCCTTTCATTTTACGCAAGGTGTGCATTTCTCATTGGGTGTCCCGGTATTCCTAGCCGTAGCTTTTAGGACAGCCATTAGCAAAACTTATAATCTTGTCGTCGGAGTGTTCATCGGTCCAAACTCCTGAAAGGTCTCCATCCATGTTAGGGTGACATTGACCCAGGCAATCGATGTAGATGCAACTATCCGTGACAAAATACAGCACACCATATCCTAACAGTTCTAAAGCTTCGTAAAATTTTAAGAGAGCATGGGCTTTAGTACTGATGTTGGATACTATACGGACAATGGGAAGCACCATTACAAGACCCTCCTGGGATCGTTTAAGGACAAGCTTTATACGGAGAAAAGGTTGTAACTGTATACGGTCAAGAGAAAGCTGAACATAGGTTGGGTTTGTATAGAGACAATAGAAATGGAACAAGGTGACGTCATGGACATTGGCAAAAATGTTGCAAGTGGCTCAATCGGGAGAAAATCTTCTCGTCATTAACAGTACTGTTTTCGTTTTATGATTGTATGTTATGCATATCTGAATTTTGTATTTGAACTTTGCCAAAATCAAGATGATGATGTCCCTGACCAGTAACATTAATTCCTTAAAGAATATAATACATAGCTAATATTTCTCTATGAAAAAGATTAAATATTCAGATTATTATCTGGTTCCGTTTATGTCAGTGATAACACTGTCAGTGGTACAACTTGACGAGGATGTTTTTGTTTTTTCTTTTTTCTTTTAGTCTAGACAGCCTTTGTATTTGTGCTAGCACTATCAGTGGTACCACCGAACGTGCACATCTTATTACCTACTTATGTTTTGGATGTACATGTATGTAGTTAATACAAATGTTTTCATCTATAAATATATTTCGCCATCTACAATAATTTCTCTTATTCATCAATGTTATCATGCACAACATCTACATTACTGACCATTTCTAGATCAAAGCATAATTTTTTTCATCCGTTTTCGAATGTTCGACGTCGGTTTGCGATTTGTCACAAAACTGGGTGAATGTAACATCTTTTACTGTTTTTATTATGCAGTTAATTCCTACATTCATTAATTGGTGTCGCACAAAGTATTCTCAATTAACATTTATTATAATCAACTCTTTATAAAACTTGTTCTCACAAAATGTGTATTGTAATAAACTGTTATAAATTATTTACATTTAATGTGTACTGTAATCAACTCTGACCAATTATTCTGACAAAATGTGCATAGTAATCATACATATTGTAATTACTGCATCAGTTAAAGTATATGTTTCAGGTAAATTGACTAAAGTGATCAAAGTTACTGTTGATAGTTTAATAAAATGTTGTACGTGCTGCGTCCGTTCTTGTTTCAATGTTTAAGGGTTCACTGGGACCCCGAAATAATCTATTTCAGGAACATTGTATATCTACCTACTCCATCTACGTTACTTAGAAAACGCTAAATTCATGCATACTGCCAATATCTGCTATTCTGCCATCATCATGTCCTGTTATCAGGTAATCTCATTTGCTGTGTGTGTGTGTGTGTGTGTGTGTGTGTGTGTGTGTGTGTGTGTGTGTGTGGTTTGGATTTGCAACATAGCTTTACCAATTTTTCAGTCATAAAGTTAGGATGTCTGCATTGTGACAGTTTATAATTATGTCTAGCACTGGGGCATCATGCCGCAGACATTAAGCATGATGTCCCACCCAGTCACATTATTCTGACACCAGCACGAACAGTCCTAACATCAGTCCTAACACTAGCTACTTTATGTTGAGCGCTATGCGAGGCAGCTTTAGTATCATTTTTATAAGTCTTTGGTGTGACTCAGACGGGTCTCAAACCCACGACCTCACGCATCCTAGCCGGACGCTCTAACCAGTAGACCACCGGAGCGGTTGCAGTGTAATATTTGATTTGCACTGTCCATTTATCTAGAGGTATCTCTTTTTTTTCAGTTTCTTCCCTTCGGTTTTTATGATTATAGGTATGCTTTTTTATCTCTTTGTCCTGTTGTAACTGTTCAATCTATCAATGACAAATGCCATTATTATGTTACGACTCATTCCTAGTAATCTAAGTAATGAAAAGAAGCGAAGCCAACAAGTTTTGTAACACTTGAAAACTAATTTAAGTCTCTACGTTATAAAATGAACGTTGAAGAGGAACTTACGGTGTTATGAATTAATCCGAAATATCCCCAAAAGTTTTATCTAACGTATTTGTTACAAAACATAATGTTGCGAATAAATTCCAGGTTTCAAATGTGCTAATGTAACAAATATGTCTAAATGTGAAGAGGTACTAATAGTCTTGATGTACCCCAATGACATTATATAAAACTCCTTTGAATGAATTCACAATACTTCCAAAATAGTACTTAGTCTTAGTAATTATATTAGTACTTTGTAATTCCAAAATTCTAATAAATAATTTAAATACATGATTCCTCTGAAATTAAACCTAAATACAACATTAAATATTGCAGGCTAAACATAAAATAAAAACAGTAATAAAGAACAGGAATAAATAAATTGTATTCTTCTTCACTTTTATATACATCCTCTCGACTCTACTACGACTTTAGGTTGCAGTTAATCCCACATGACATTTTGCAATTCATCCCCACGTTACATATGTCGCAACAGATCTTACCTGACTAAATCATGTAGTCGAAACTTACTTCAAACTGTAAACGGGTTTATTTTCTATAACTCAGATCCAAATAAACAACATATTTGTAGCTCCTTATCTCAATATTGAATCTACTCTAACTGACAAAAATTAGCTACACAATATCTTGACCTATAAATGATCATTCAATCTAAAGTCATGGACAAAAATTAAATACACAATAGATGAATACTTAACAATTTCATCATGTTTCAAAACTTTTTTTAAAAAAATAGATATTTTATTCATATCCATGGCCAAACCCTTTGGTATATTTACGTCTCTTTTAAAACGCTGTTTTGCCGTTGCATTGATTTCATTGTTGCTTACTAGTACGTAACAAAAAATGTAACAATTTTGGCAGTTTTTTTTTCTAAATAAACTGGAATGGTCAACTATTGCTTAAAGCATGGTGTAATCAACAGGAAGAACATAGTTTAATAGTATTGCTGGTTTGTTACGCTAAACATGACATTTTTTTGTAGCGAATAATTTATCAATGTATGTTTGATTGTACACTCAAATGTGCGGTGTTAATAAACTTTTGTCAGGTATAAATCCATTTGACATCAAGTAGTCCAGAGTAACCTGACTAAGCGTGAATGTTATAGTTAACTTTCGATCCTCTTATGTCCAATGTTGATGGTGGACATGTTTCAAACATTATAGCTTTTCAAAAGCATAATGTAGGGAATCGTAATTTGGGTTGATGGGTGTTTCTTCTCGACATGTTATTTATTACTGGTAACAATATCGAACTGTTGAACATATTTAAAGCATTCTTCGTATTGTATTGTATGATGCAGTTATTTCTTTTGTGATTTGGTTTATTTGATAATTGTTATGTTCAATGTCTTTCAGCAATCAGTGTTACAGTGCTGTACCATCCTTATGTTTTTTGACCAAACAAACAAGTTTTCCATTCTAGATAAACTCTATTAACAGTCACATAATATATTGTATTGTTCGGCATGGCTTAAACTTTTTAGTGCTTTATTATTTCATTCGTGTTATATTATCTAGTTCTTTCTTCAAACGTTCAATTTGTATTTTTAATACTAGTTTACGTTGCCAGGTTTTCTAATAATTTTAACTCTACGTGGAACGTTTTTTTCCTTGTAAAGTTACCTTTAAAGTTGCTGTTACAGGCTTCGTTTCCATGTTGTTCATGTTCATTAAAATCTGGAAGAAAGAGTAACACGTTTACAAGATTAAAACAATGGCAAATTTCGACGTGAATTAGAGTATACTTACGTGTCATTTAAACACTTTGAAATCAATTTATGGAGACAAAAAGGATGGCTACCATAATAAGTCACAGATGTGGAAAAGAGTAAATCAAATTGAACGAGTTTTACAGAACCAACATTACAGCCAAACCTCACTATTACAAATATTCTAATGAAGACTACAGGACCTTCACACTGAGCCTGGATTCCAATGTGTGTGTGTGTGTGTGTGTGTGTGTGTGAGAGAGAGAGAGAGAGAGAGAGAGAGAGAGAGAGAGAGAGAGAGAGAGAGAGAGAGAGAGAGAGAGAGAGAGAGAGAGAGAGAGAGAGAGAGAGAGCTTGCTTGCCAGTAGCTTCTCGTGGGTCGGTGGTTTTGGCGGTTTTCCAGATTCTTCCTCCTCTTCCTCCACAGTTCACAGCCTTCGTCTGGCGTCATCATCCGCCATCTTGGACCGGAACTACACTTCAGACTGTTAATTTAGAACTGTTCAGAGGACTTATGTTTTATATCTTTTCGTAAATCCTAAGTCTTGTTTTACATATTTACATTATTTTCTATGTTTGCGAGGAAAATAAAATTATTTTTGTAAAAGTTTACAAAGCTTGTTGTGTTCACTCTTTGAACGAGCCGTTACGTAACATAAAGCAATTGAGGGCTTGTACTGAATATTTGAAATTGGTTAAAAATTGAAATTTAATTTCCCCTAGTTCACTTTATTTGAAATTTTAGTAAAATCAACAGATTATTCTTAAAAATGTCGAGAGTTGAGGGTTTTCTTTCTACTTCAACTCAAGAACAGTTTGATAATTTTAGGAAGGATGAATTGCTTGAACTTGCCAGAAAGTATGAATTATCCGAAGCAAAAACTTCCTTAACTAAACAATAAATCAAGAAAATTTTAGTTCAATATTTGGTAGAAAAGAATATCTTTGACAAAAGTGTTTTGGAATCTGCCAGTAAAACTTTAACTAATGCAGACATCAAAATGACCGAATTAAAAATGAAACATAAATTTGAGTTTCAAAAAGAACAAATACAATTAGAAAAAGAACAAATGAGATTAAAATTTGAAGAAAGGGATAAACAAAGACAAAGTGAAGAAAGGGAAAAAGATAGGCAAATAGAATTGCAAAAAGAACAAATTAAATTGAGAGAGAGAGAGAGAGAGAGAGAGAGAGAGAGAGAGAGAGAGAGAGAGAGAGAGAGAGAGAGAGAGAGAGAGAGAGAGATGCAAATTAAAATGAAAGAATTGAATCTAGTTTGTGACAGGCATGATTCCACATCTCATGCAAAATCATATTTTAACATTTTAGGAAATATCAAATTAGTTTCCCCTTTTAGTGAAAGGAAGTAGACAAATATTTTATATTTTTTTGAAAAAGTATCTGAAAATTCCAAATTGCCAAAAGAGTATTGGACTCAATTATTGCAGAGTGTACTTTATGGCAAGGCCATAAATATCTATATATCTCTATCAGTACAACAAAGTTCTGATTACGATTTGGCTAAGGAATATATCTTGAAAGGTTTCGAGTTAATCCCTGAGGCTTATCGACAAAAGTTCAGAAGTGACAAAAAAGAAATTAGACAAACATATGTTGAATATGGTAGGGAAAAGAACAGTTGTTCAAGAAATGGTGTCTGTCTGAGAAAATTGAACACGATTATGAAAGACTTGAACAACTGGTATTACTCGAAGAGTTCTTAAACTGTATTCCTAGTGATATAAAAAATCACCTTGAAGATCATGAGGTTAAGACCTTGGAAAATGCTGCTGTGGCTGCTGATAGGTATTCCTGAACTCATAAAGTTCCTGCTATAAACTAATCTGTCAATCAGCAGTCTGATAAAAAGGTGTTTCAAATAAATACGACTCTCAGTAAAATTCAATCTGGCACAAATTCTAAAAATCAAGCCTCTGAAAGACTTGATTCTAAATCCTTGTCTTTACCTACGAGTACCTATTGTAAGAAAAAAGTACACATCATTTCTAAGTGCTTTAAATTTAAATATAGGCACGAGAAAAATGATAGAAATATCCCAAATGCTCATATTTCTAGGAGGTCAAAGTCAAGGTCATGTATTGAAAACTATACATTTGTTTGGTTTGATAAACCTCAGTCTGATTGTGTTTTGGAGAATTTTGAACCATTCATGTCGAAGGGTTCTCTATCACTCTTGGGTGATTTTGGCTAATCCTATCCCTATTAAAATTTTAATGGATACAGGAGCTTCTCAGAGTCTTTTAGTTTCAGGTGGTTTGCCTTCTTCTAAGAAGACCTGATCTAATGAGAGTGTTCTCATTCAGGGAGTAGAGTGCGGCTTTGTTAATGTTCCTCTCCATTCTGTTAATTTGGCATCAGACTTAGTTTCGGGACATGTGACCGTCGGTGTAGTGCTTACTTTGCCCGTTGAGGGCGCTCATTTGTTGCTGGGCAATGACTTAGCTGGAGACAAGATTGTGGTTAATCCACTTGTATCTGACAAGCCTTCTTTGGATCAGAAAGTTGATCCTATTGAAAAAGAAATCCCTGATTTATTTTCAGCTTGTTCAGTTACCAGAGCTTTTGCAAGTAAAGCTCTTGAGAATGATTTTGATAAGGACTGTGGTCCTTTAGATGACACGTGTATTGGTCAGGTTTTTTTTAATGAGGTCACCTTCACTTCTAATTTTGATCAGTCGAAAGGTATTAATCATGGTGATCCTCTTTTGAATACTCATTATCTTTTATCTGATCAGGGTGATTAACGACAATCCCTTGTTGTTGAACAGGAGAAGGATCCTGAGATCTCCTGTTTTTTTCCCCTGGCCGTTAGTGAAACTGAAGCAACTGAAGTACCTGTCTGTTACTTCATGGAGTTCTTATCAGAAAATTTGAGACCTCCCGGGGTACGTGCTACTGACGAATGGTCAGTAAAATATGAAATTGTGGTTTCGAAACCTTACAGACAGGGAATACTTTGTTTGGCCCATGAAACTTCATTGGCTGGTA